CTCTGTTATACAACGGCACATTTTGTTTAAGGTATTAATCTCTCACGGGTTGCATATCTAAAAATATAATTCATGAGAAAGTATAATGTAATTGTTCGGGCTTTGATGAATTGGGGCATAATGTTAAATAATTATTCATTGCCTTTATTCTTCTGTCTAAGTGTGCAAAAAAAAAAGCAGCTTTTTATTGCTTTTTTTTATATAAGGACATGGGTCTTTGTGACGTGCATTTTATTTTAAACTAACGCTTCTATTATTCCACATTTGAATAATTATAGCTGACATCATCTACTCTTCCGTGACCTAGAAGATCTTTAGCTCTAGCACACTGTTACATATTTTATGCATTACATGAAATAAAACACCTCAAGATTTCAAAAATATTTATTTTAAAAACAGCATTGAAATTGTCTGTAATCACATTTTCTGCTCTGCTTTGAAAGCAGCATTATTCAATATGCCAGTGGTCTTTTCCATAAGAGCAACATATTAGAAATTCATGCTGCTCTAATATATCTGAATTCCTTGATGTACTGCACTCCCTACAGACCTAAAGAAACATTTTGGCTTCAGTTTCATATGTCCTGCACATTTCCTACTGATGTGGTGGTTGTCAAAACAGTTGTACAGTAGCCTTTGAATTCAAAGTGTGCCTTGACTGTATACTAAAAATGACAATAAACCTAAGTATATACATTACGCTGGCTTTTGTTGCTAGCACAAGTAGAGCACCTGATTTTATTGTCTTTTAACATCTTTTGAATTTTAAACTTAAAGACCAGAAATTTGAAGCATTTCAAGAAATGAAATCTTCTTTCTTGTAAATTTTCTATGGTATACCATCATGAGCCACATTTTCAAAAAGATCAGCACAAGATTACAAATGAAAGCATTCCAAAAATAGGTTGGGGTTTTTTTCCAACTATGTCAAAACAGCACTGTGATTTTTAACCCTGGTTTCTTGCAGAAAAAAACTAACTATCTGTAGAATACACTAAAGAAGATAGAATGTCGATAATTTGATTGATACACAGAAAAAAACATTTTATAGAACACATCCAAAAGCATTTTTATAGATAAATGCATATTCTCGCACAACATGCATTTTTTGCAAATGTTAGAAGGGTAGTTCTTGTGGTCCTTGAAAATATCCTTTGGGATATTTCAGGAAAATGCACATCAACAGAAAAAGGCTGGCAGGTCAAGCCCCAGCTGGGATCTAACCGAACCCACACAGTCTTCAACTGGTAGGAAAGCAGGAAGGGATCCCTATTCCATTATATAGAAGCAAAGATGTTTACAGGACTATAAGTACATTTTAATTAAACAAATACTTCTATCTATATCAAATTGCATCCAGTTAAGAAGCAGGAATAGAAGTCATATCCGTTTTGAAGAAGGATTTTAAGGGCTCCATGATGGGGCTGGACTGTGGGTTAATACCACCGTGACTCACATTCTGCACAAATTTTGTAGATTTCTGAAGCCCTGATATCCAGATATAATGAGTGCCTAAAGAAATCTGTATGTGACAGCATGATAGAAATTAATGTACATGCGCACATGTATATTCTGTATGTCAACTAAGAATACAGAAATATACAAACATATAAGTAAATATGTGAACTGACAGCAGAACAACAAGAAGGAAAATTTTAGTGGTTTTGTTGTTTGATTTCTTTTTTTTAAGTAGTTGGCATGCAGTATGAAAGCCCGATCAATCAAAAAAACTTCCAAGAAGGTTAATTCCAAATTTAAGATACTGTCAATGGCAATGAGAAATTTTCATCTCCCAGCACTGCAAAGTTTTTTTAGAAAGAATTCCCACAGTGTAAGAATCTGTAAGAAGTCAATCCCTAGTATGAATTCACTGAGCTGGTAGTGGGCTCTCATTGTGTGTATTTAAGCACTTCTGCAGAGGAGAATTCTTAGAGAGATTGGGGTAAATCCTGCCATCCTTACTGAAAGGGATTTTATCTGCAGCTTGGAGGGAGTACTGCACAGTGTGAAACAGGGACTTCTGATGGGAGGAGATTTGACGGGGTTTTAGGAAGGGTACATCCTCAATTTTCAATCTGTCCAAAATCACAAAAATCCTCATCTGAAAACACCTGGTAGTTGAGATGGAAGAAAAACACTACACTTAGTGTATGAACTATTTTCTAACTGTTTATGAGCTCACTGATATTCCTTTCTTACATTTGGCTAGTATTAAGTAATGTTTTGTCTGTAAGAACACAAACTGAAAAACACTCACTAGTTCTAACACAGATAAAAGAGAAGGTATTATTGCTAAAATACCAAAATGGGTTAAAAACTAGCTAAAAAGAAGGATGTTTAAAGTAGAGAAAAAAATAACCAAATTCTATTAGAGGCACATTGGAATGCAGCTGAATTTGTCCCAATGTATGTAAAATTTGCTGAAGATGTGAAATTAATTAGGGATAGAGAACAGCCAACAGATTTGCTTCTAAGAATATTTTTTCTAAAAATACCCATTAGTGCCCTGAAAAATGAAATGAGACACGTGTTTTCCAAGTACACAAAACGGTACTTGATATACTAGAAAATATATGGAACCAAGGGTTTAGACAGATTGGAGAAACTTATAAATTATGTTCTGTATGAGGCAATATAGGAGTGATTTAGACAAGAACATATTAAATGGATCAGAGTTTGATGAGATAGTAAAAAGGAAACTTGGAGATGAGTAATACCACAGGAAAAGAGTCATACTGAAAAAAAGCTAAATGTTCTGGATTATAAAGATTCAAAACCAAGTAAATAATGTTAACTCTACAAAATCCCCTGTTTTTCTTCATCAGTGCAAAGCCAAAAGAACAATGGGGTCATTCTATTAACTGAAGAAGTCACTGAATTCACTGAAGAGTTAAATTATTTCCCTCAAGTTAATTTCTCTCAAGTTATCAAATTCAAATCAGAGGAGCTATACTGCCAAACAGCGTTTGAACTGTATGAAATCGAGGTGTTAACATTGTACCAGTTGTATTAACATGAGATGTAGCTTCATCCCCTGCACAGACAAGCCAGCTTGAGTTCAACTATTGCTAGGTAAGAGCCGCTTTTGTGCAAAAAGGGCATGCAAGTTAGGGATAACAGTTGACTTAGCACATGACACTTCAAGGATCATGCTTTATTTATTGAACAAATCCTCAGAAATTATAACCAAAATTCAGCACATATTTTCTTGACATCTGATTTTCATCTCTTCTGATCTTCACTATGTTCTAACAGCAAAATTGCCTAGCTATATTATTCAACTTTTTTGTATTTTCCCTCAATGCGATTATTCACTGCGATGATCTACACACTCTCAAGGCCCTTTGTTCAGAGCTTGTTGCAAAAGGTTAATGTGAAACATCACAGCTTAAAAGAATGCATAGTTCTGAGCCATAGCCATGGCTCAAAAGAGGTCAATTCAATGAAATACTGCCTGTCTTGACTAGAGTGTCAAGCATTTCTTTTACTTTTTCAAGTCCTTTCATAGCTCTGATTCTCAGAACCCCACACAAGATTTCACTCAAGCTCTTTAATGCATGCCATCAGCTTTGCAGACAAGCAAGGAAAATACAGGCTCTTTCCATAGAGTATATTTATATTTCTCTATATAAATCTGCCTCTCCTCCACTCCTCCCATTATTGAACATAACCCTGGGGTCAGATTCTGACCTCAAACACAAAGTGTGCCACATCCTAGTAAATCAATAACAACTGTGCAACATATAAGAAGCCAATACTTGTGCCCTCTGCTTTTTTGGACATCCTCAAAGGGAATGCAGAGCTCCTCAAAATCAAGGTAGCTTTATTTTAATTAAGTTGCAATGAAGCTATATGACAAAGCAGATTTTTGTTGTAAACTAAGTCTTTTCCAGCCACCATGTCACCTGACTCTGGGGCTGTTAGTCTGAGGGGCTGATGGGAGCTAAACCTAGATCCCTCACTATCCAAACCTACATGTGTTGCGTCAGCTCTCAGGTTCCCAGGACTGATTTATGTTTTTTAGATAATGTGGTGGGGAGCTAGCAAGCTGGGAAGCCTAAACAGCCTCAGTCACTAAGTGCAGAACTTTTGGTGAGAAGCCCAGAGCCTATATCTCTAGGAACAGCAGATTCCTATCTATGGCTGTTGGGATCTGCAGCTCCTGGGCAGCCCATTTAGACCACCTAATGTTTGAAATGCTGTGGGATATAGAAAATGTTAGGCTCCATTCTCTTTCATGGGATTTTTAACTCTTTGGGTTAGAACTGTACATCAATGCGAAATAATCTTGTCTGGAGCTCCTATGCAAGAAGTATACCAATTAATTGTAGAGCCCACTTGAAAATGTAACATGTAAAGTAGCTCTGCAGTTGTTGCAAGCAATTTAACATTCAAATAAGTGATTTATAATATCAGGCTTCACAAGATTACGACCATAATGACTATCTGACAGACTTTATAAGCAAGTTGTCCAGTCATTTCAATTGCATTCTGGCTGGCTAAGGACTGGGAACTGTAAAAAGGCTGTAAGATTTGGCCTAGAATCAGAAATAACATTTGCTGTTTTCCAAACGTGTGGTAAACAAGAAAGGAGATATTAAATTTTTGTACATCTCTCAGCACATGCAAATGAGAATGGAAAGAGCCTCATCAGACAAATACAGAACAACAGCCATCTGGATCCAAACTCTGCTCCAGCAGAAGTCAGAGCCTTGAGCCTCTTTCTGTCATTATTTACATCCCTGTAAAGGATAACCTTCTACCCAAGGTGTAGGAAGGTAACACTCTGGCTTTGAGGAACTCAGCTGAAAATTCCCCCTCACCTCCGCCAGGGTGAAGATCTGACACAGGGAATGCAATGTAACTCCCAGAGTCAGGCCAGGGCACTCCAAAATTTGAGTGGGGCACATGTCGGTCCCCTTGCAGGATTTCAAACAGGTCTGTATTTCCATGATTTTGCACTTTAAACAGAACAGAAGGGAAAGACTAAAAGTGCTTACCACAGAGAGGGAATTGGAAAGCAGTGTCCCGTCTTGGCCAAGCATGTTGGAAACTGTAATTTCAGGTAGATCCATGTTTTGAGGATGGAAGGGAAGGATGCCATTGTGGTTCATGGGATGACACAGAGAGTGGTACCCAGACTCTATCTCATTCAAGTGCACCAGGGAGTGGTCAGGCAATGATGGAGGAGTTATAGGAGGTATGTTAAAATCTTCACTTTCGAGACTTGGGCCAGGAAAAGACTGGAAAAAAACCAAACAAACCAACAAACAGAAATTTCTATGAAAATCATACGAGCACTGGTCAATCATAACAACAAAAGTCACAGAAAACAAACAAAAAGATCCAAACTCATACTTCTAAGCACAATCTACAATTTAATACAAAATATTTTCAAGACCCATATATTATACAAGTGAAGTCTCACCATTATGTATAGAGGAAAAAATACCTCTAAGGCATAAGAATCTATGATACTTTTCCCTTAGAAATATTTTTTTTAAGAGAAGGTGAACTCAAACAGATTTCAAGGGTCCTATTAAAATTTTCCGAGAGTGTTCATCTAGCTGAATGCCTTTTTCATGGGAATTGTGGAAAAGGGAATGCAATTTATAAAATTAATATTGGCACAAAATGGTTCCTTTTGCTTCCTGCTATTCAGACCAAGAATTACATAGTGAAGAAAGATACCACTTTTATGCTTATGGGAGTGCCATGCATTTACTCTGCTGGAAAGAAAAAGAAACAGTATGTAGTCAGTATGAGTATACTTAGTATTTATAAAAATGCATTTGAAGTTTCTCAAAAAATCAATTTTTTTTTTCCTTTCTTAATCTATAAACTGAATTTTACCTATATTTTGTCAGTTATCTGAATTAGTTCCTCCACCAAACCGCTGTTAGTCTTTTGTTGTCTGCTGCCATTAAGTCATCCAACTCAATCTGATCCAAGGAAAGCCACAGGCAAAGTCAGAGTAATGCACCAAGGTGGATAATTGCTATTATTTATCTACAGTTTTTGTACAGCAGGTAGGCTCATTTGTGGGATAGGGTGGGTATGTATTTCTAAAAGGAAAAGGTGAGCATAATAAAGGGTTAAAGAGATGAGTTGCAATGGCTCAGCCTGAAAGCCTGCTCTGCTTTTCTGAGAACAGCCAACTCCTTTGCAGAGTGATCAGTCTTTGCACATCCCATGCCCACAGTCAGGAGATTTATAGCATAGTGACTACTCCCACCCTTCCTGCCCCTCTTCAGCACAGCAGTCCTGCTCTGAGTGCTGCTTTTGTTAATTCGGGAAATGCAAGTATTTAAATACATTCTGCTCCTGAAAAGTATCACCAGAAAGGTTGAGTAGGAGGGCATAATTTCAAAGAGCAGCTATTGGAAGAAAATGTTTTCCCCAATATGAGTTTCCAAATAGAGGATAACATGATGTATGAATTCATGCAGAAGGACAAGGGGACAATCAATGGCCAATTATAAACAAAGGGATTTTTCATTAGTCATCATAGTAATAACGTTATCCTGATGCCTGAGGTTACTCTCCTCTGTACAAGCATGTATATATGAACTTAAATCAGACAAACCAAACAGTATTACAGGTTTCCAGTGAGCTGGTGAAAAAGCTCACAGAAAAACCTCCTCTTATGGACATAATTTACACTGGATGGTAAAGCAGCCAAGCAGCCATGGTTTTGGCTGCTTTTTTTTGTTGTTTGTTTGGGGTTTTTTTTTGTTTTGTTTGTTTGTTTTTGTTTTGTTTGTTTTTTTTTCCCCAAAAGATTTTAATCTCTTTACCAAATATCTTAGTATGAAATACAACAGGAAGTCTAGACTGGAAAGGCCAAAGTAAAATTCCCAAAAATGAAAAGAACAGAACAGGGTTTGACAGTGTTTGACATCACTGTTATTTGTGAGGACTTTGATTCTATCCATGCATTCCAGCTGTGTTTCTCACCCTCAGCACAGGAATTTGCTCTCCCTCTGCCCCTGCTTTCTTCTTAATGGCAAGCTGGTGTGAGTCTACTGACCTCTGTAAGTTGCATTTTCCCCCACTTTCACAAGCCATGATGCAGCCATTTCACCAAGGGGAAATACAGTAAAATGGACCCTCACTAAATGGAGAGAAGGCTTAAGCATGGCAAAGAGAACATCACATTTACTCAATAGCAATGCATAAATTTTGCAAAACCAAATAAAAGTATTAGGGACAATGCATACACTAGCTAGTTGCTAATTACTCTTATATAAAATCCATGACAAAGGAAAAGGTGTCTAAAGTGAGTTTAAGATGTAATACCACAGTAACTAAACAGCACAAAAGAGAAATGAAGGAAGGGATGACATCCATAATGCTCTCCTGGACCAGTGCTATCCCTGCAGGTACACTTAGATTTGGTAACCATAGTCCTGGTGAGCTTGGATCCATGTAGCCTACATCTTCCAGGAGGGATTCATTAGCTGTGAAAAGATGACTTTATGTTCAACAGTGTCTTTTCAAATGTCCCAAAAGACTTATGGCCTCAAAAGAGTTTTCTCTCTCTGGATTTTGCAGGTAGAAAGTATTAACATCTATTTTCTCTCTCCTGCACTGTCCTGTGAGACTTAAGTTTGCTAGTAAAAGCAAATATTCCCAAACCAAATATTGACAGGATATTGAAGGCACTTAGCATATTTGTACATCTCTTTTTTGCATGTTATATGGATGGACCAGGCTTTACTTTTGATTCTTTGTGTTTGACATGTGTCTTTAACTAGTAATACTTCAAAAATAGTGGAATTAACTGCCACTAGGACACTAGTTTCACTTATTAAGAAGGAAGCTCTAGCAGCTCCACAATCCAAGATCATGTGTAGGTATATAATAATGTTATGTATATTATATAGGTTAAGAATTTTAAATAAATGCCTGCTCTCTGATTAATTAAAAAAACCCCAAACCACACAACGGTTGTTGCTTGTGAACCATTTAAGAGAGTATTTGATCCCACATCACTTACAATATCACTGTTCACAACATTAAAAGTAGGATTAGAATAGCAAAATCTGTAATGACACACCAAATAACATATAATTCAAATTACAATACCTCTTATGTTTCTCTATTTTCAATTTTTTTCTTAAGACATAAACTATTGTACTATTTCAGTAAAGCTGGGCAGAATCCAAGTTATATGCTAATGGTATGGACAGATATTCAAAAGCATCTGCAGAGCACCCTATTCACCTTACATTTTCAGCCAATTTGATATTTCCAAGCTCAGTATTATGTGCATGTAACACATATAGACTTAGCTTCCTCAGGGAAGTTACTTCAACAGTGATTTGCTGGTATTCATTTGTCTCATCCAGGAACTTGGTTCAGATGCTTATAATGACTTACCACACTGGCATATCAAACCCAAAATTCCTAGATACATCTGCAGCAAACCAAACATATCCCAGGAACAAGGCTGTTGCAACTGTGCCTGGAGGAAAGGCACGAGGAATGGGACATGTGCTTGTCCTGTGAATAGCAGCTACAAGCTTCAAACACCCACTCCTACTTTCCTGCCACCTCTCTCCTTGCCATTGGAAAACCTATTTTAGTAACCATCTGGGGTCCCCTTGATGCAACTTTCCACTGCTGGCAATGAGCTCTCCTGGAATGTTGTATTGTCACCTTCTTCGGTAAAGAGAAATTTTAAGGAAATTTACCAAAAAGGAAGTCTCGAGTTTAACCCTGCAGCAAGAACTCCCACTCCCAGACCAGTCATCATCCTGTCCCAGTCTCTGGACTTCCTTAGAGCACCACTTATTCCAACACAAGCTGTTTATCTGGAATTTCTAATTGAAGCACTTATCTAGCATCCAGAGCATCAGGGAAGGCTGTACTCCCTGTATCCAACAAGAAGTCATAAGTATACCTCATATGTATTCATAATAAATGGTGGCCCATAGTTTCAGCTCTGTTAGGTTTTTTTTGGGGATGGGGAAGGTTAGGATCTTTCCACTCCAAGGGTTTTTCTTTCTTAGCTGTTTTTCCTATCAGTAGGACTTGCTCTATTCAGAGAGACATGGAATAGCTCCTTTTTATTCTACTGGTCACAGAAACCTCAGCAAGCTCACCTTTTCACTTTTGAATAAACAAAACCAAAACCAAAACCCCCAAACAAGCAAACAAACAAAACTAGCAGAAATGCTTTATTTTCTTTACCACAGAGATACTAGGAGCTTTGCCAGTGATTTCACTTTCAACTCATGACTATAGGAGTGAAAGAAGTGTTAATCAGCTCTTCAGTTTAAGGGAGTTTCCTAGGCCTTTATTACATTCCAGAGAGAAAACCCTCTGCAAATTAACACCATTAAACCAACTGCACAGCACTGAACAGACACAGCCTTAAACTCTTCTTTGTTTTAAAGAGCATTTTCATTACACCTGTGTTATAAACAGATACATTACACCTGTGTATAAACAGATTTCAGTCTAGTTCAGATGGAATCTACATGGTGGGAACATCAGAACTGATTATCTTTACATTTGAGATATCTATAGACACAATGTTATAGAAGATTTTTGAATTAAGAATGTCTTCCCAAATTTAGAGGACTATATTTTATGTTTCTGGCTAAATATTTGTGACATTTCTGCTTGAAATTATGTAAACTCCATAAAACAGATGATTAATATGCCCAGTCTGAGATCAGGAGGCTTATCTATATGCTACCTTGGCATATCATTTTATAAGAAAAGTTTGCCAGAATAAAATTATATAAACAATGAACCCTGACTCACTGTCCATCCCAAATCCAAGCTTTTGTTTCTGAAAAAGACCCCATTTGCTCTCTTCAATTTACTTTTTAGGCTGCTCAAATCCATCACGAAGCTATGGAAGGAGGGGCAAAACTGGGACACTGAGAGGAAGTGTATATCAGGAATCACTTCTTACTTATGTTTCAAAATAATTTTAATATAACTCTAAAAAGTGATAAAAGAAGGCAAATCAAAGGACGAGGCTCAAACAGACTGACCACAGGAGGCAGCAAGCTTTCAAACACCCAGTGTAAATCCCTTGGAAAGAGCAGAATTGTTCATATATGACAGCCCAGAAGACAACATTCACTAAGTAAGTCTGATTTGTGTGCTCAGTGGTTGCATCAGTCATCATGCATTTACTCAACAGAATCTCATATTAGCAACAGTTCCTTAAAAATTGGGAATTTGCCTATAGATATTTAATTTAAATGATATGAATGGTCCTGCC